CCTTTTAAAGGGAGATGTTACCAGCATAATTCAATCTTGAATCCCAGGCATTAGAAAGTACAAAATTACCCAACTTATGTTTGGTTCCCCCCCAACTGAAAGATTTTTGTTGATATAAAACACAAAGAAGTTACACATGCACAATTTGGTTATGATGCAACTAAAGCAACAAGACAATATACAAGTAGAGCTCAACACCACTAATTAAGGTGACTGAACACTTCATATTGACACCTGAGGTCAGTTACTTAGGCAGCTTTTGGCAAATTATGATAACCTTAGGTTTTCATGCCAACCATCTACCTCTCCCCCTCCCCAACCTTAATTTAAGCCAAAAGTTTAGCTTTTTAAAAGCAAAGTGAAGACAAATGGGCTAAATGGCAACTGCCTTCGATGTAGGTTTTCCAAGACAGTCAGTGCGGGAGGCCTGTGTTCCAGAGATGTTACAGAGACTGAAACAGCTCTAAGTTGGGCAAGATAGGCCCCTAGCACCAGCTCACTGAAAGGAGCTATTCTCAACCAGGGTGCTTGGGCTTTACATTTATGCCACAATTTACAGTAATCATAGCATAAATAAAGGCTACAACACAAATCCAATTTAAAAGTGCCAAAAATAGCAAACAAGCCATAAAAACATTTATTTTATATATAAACAACCAAACAAAGAAAATGTAGAACTCTTTATGGCAGGCTTGTATGGTGCCTTAAATTGGACGTGTGGTCAAATTGAATGCTCTGCCCCCTGCTGCTGTAAAAACAGAAGCAGATGTTAGTAAGAGATAGCAAGAGAAAGGAGGAGACGGGACTGATTGGGAAGACTAAGAATCGGTAGGAGGAAGCGGGGAAAACTAAATATCAAGGAAAAGGTCTGTGATGAGAAAAAGATGAAAGACAGTTGGGACACGTTGAAAGAGGCCAGGCTGAAGTGATCAAAACTTGGCAGAGCTGGGGAAGACTGAAGAAAAAAGGAAGAATTTTTGGCCACCAAGGTCCCATTTTAGGTTCTGGAAGGGGGCTCATGATCCCAAGTCTCACTAGGCTCTCTCATATCAAAAGTATCAGAAAACTCACATGCACAATGTATGCATTTCACCCCCACCTTTGGGGCTGATCCCCATATTAGATGTCATCCTCTTACATCCTCTTAGTTCACTTAAGTGGAAAGATGTTGTGTGTGGAAACAAGTTCCAACCCTGCTCACGAGCCATGTGGGTGTCAATACAACATCAAATGAAAAATAACCAATTGCATCAAGCCTACCTTTTTAAAAGCCTTACACATATTCTGTTTCAAGTCACACACTAAAAACAGTTTAGATATGCCAAAACTGCAGTGGCTTCTGACACCATAATCCTACCACCTTCTACATCCACACTATATAAAATTTTAATGTAACTACACATTTCCTCCCCATTACACCACCTCCCCCTTAGATCCCCACCCCCCACACCTCCCGCTACAAAAACAGGAGCAGATGCTAATAAGAGACCATTAAGTCTGTGGAAAGCCCACCGCAAATATTAATAAGCAGTGAGCACATGTCAGCAAGATGTTTACTGCACAGCTGACTAATGCAGTAAATATCTCAGCATCTATATGTGTGCCCCTATTAGGGTGCACAAAACTAATGAACTGCACAGCAGAGTTTATGTGCAACAGATCACGTGTAGATGCCAAGCTGGCTGGCTGGTGCATGAAAGTGCTTCAGGGAGCTGCCTGTTGGCTAGCCCTGCAGTGAAGCACCATCATGCCCAAGCCAGGCCCCCTGAAGCACACTAAGCCCAGTCAGAGCAGCCCTGGGCTAGCAAGCTGTCCCCGGCACCTGTCCCAGCCCCTGCCAGGAAGAGCCCAGCGCAGCCCCAGCCCCGGCATATCCACCCACATCCTGCATTCAGATCTGGG